GGGGCTTGAAAAATTATTCTTCAGCACTCTATCCTCTTGCGTAACCCTGCTGAGTTGGTTGGTTGTGCTGGTTGTGGTGGCATCTGTTGCTGGGAAATTAATTGCTTCCATCCGTCACTGGTTTCAAATAACTCTATTTTTGCCATATACAGTGAAGAAGAGCAATGAAAGAGGGTTCTAGTCCCTAAGCAGCAGTATGGGAAGGCAAAGTGTCTGTTATAAGATACTCAAAGTTCTAGAAATGGTCTGAGTTTCAGGCTTTTTGAAGTTTCTAATACCTAATATTCTATCAATAAATTATGATTACTTGAAAAAAATCCTTTGATCTCACTGGGAGTTTCCTAGACAGAGAGTTTTCAAAACTCGTTTGGAGTCACTAAAACATCATGAGAAAAGGTCCGAATTTTGAAAGGTGTTACCCAATAAATCAATAACTCAATATTTTCTCTGTCCCATTTATTTGTGGTGATACTGCTTGGGAAAGCAGAGGTGGAGGATAACAAACTTCATCTAAGCAGTTCTTTTTCTGGAAATTGAAAATATGTCAATCTTTACAGAGCAAGGAACTGCAAAATTAACAGTAGCAGGAATTCTAGGACTTTTGCAATGAAACACATGTGAAATTTCCTAAGAAAGAACTGTGTCTTTTACTGTGTATGGCCCTTTGGCTGAATACAGGTTTGGCAATACACGACAAGTTTACTCCTATGATCATAACAATCACTCCCTTCAAGGGATTACAAGATGCTAGGTTCCTCCAGCTTCTCAGGGCTTAAATTACTAAGAATTCAGAACTTCTGAAATTGATGCTGAGGATCTGATATTGCAATCATGCCTCAGTGGAGGAGTTGCAAAGGGAAAAAAGACTCACTGCAGAGAGTGCTGTCATGCTGCAGCACAGATATTCCATCAAAAGATCAGATGTGGCATTAACAGCCCTGCTCTGACTCTTTGCTGTGGAATACAGCTCTATATTTTGTTCCTGTTTGAGAGTTAAAATGTGCAGTATAGAGTGCAAGTACAAGGACGTCTCCTTTGGCAGAAAAGCTCTCACACAGCTTGATCAGCAATTAATATGAATCCAGACTTGCACTGCATTATTTACTATCATATCCTGCCATGCCTTCATAGGAGGCAATCTTAATTCTCAGTCTCTGGGCTGTATTTGCCTCACCTGGAAAATTCACTGAGCTCTTGGTGACACTCTT